TGGTGGGATCATCTGTAGAAATGTAAGGTGACGCTAAACCCCCCCTGTGGGAGCACCGGCTGTGAGGAAAACGTTCAAGCATCTGTCTTGTCCTCTTGGATCATGAGTGTGTTTGTACCTGATGTTTGCTGAAGGAGATGGCATGTTTCTAAAAGTCGCGAGTTTCATCTGCGATTCCTGTGTGCCCCAGTCATCACTTGTCACACACCTCAGTGGCTGACTTTAGCGCCTCGACAAATCAGCACCACACCAACTACTACATCCTATACGCCTCAGCTGTACACATGTCAGCCCACCACGTCTTCCACGCTGTGCATTCATTTTACGAGACGCCCACTGGAGCAGCAGCAGTTTATGGCGAGCGTCAGCTGTGTTTATCTAGAGGCACCTCGAGGTCCCATACCTACCGACGACACCTCCACGTCCAAACCCCCCTCCCTCCCTCCCTCCCTCCCTGACTGTACTCCCTCTTGTTCAACTATACTCACAGCCTACTCTTATTCTCCCTTGATCTATATTTCTTTTTCTTTCCCCCTTAACTCCTTTCCCTCTGTCCCTTAGCCCACTTCTCCCCTGCCCTTCCTTTCACCTCTACTTCACCCAGCACACACTGACGAGACTTACGTTATGGCTAAAGTTTTATATTTTGTTCCAATGCCTCACAATCGTGCTGGAGACTAATCACAATATATAGCTGGTACTCACACTTAGACACAGTAATGCTGAATGCCTGTGTATACCAACGTGGTAGGAGAAGCGAGTGTCAGTGTTGTGACAGCCGCCCACCTCCTGCCTGCCTCCCACCACACTCCGTCCCCTCCTCCTTACCATCCCTCTCACCACTCCTCCACGCCCCAAATCCTTACCCAGCTACACCCGCATCCTCAGCTCTCTCTCCCACTAACTCTCCACCAACGTGTCCCAGTTTATTACCTATACTGTGATTCTTTAACAGTATCTCGTACCTATATTTTAGTGGCCTCTACCCTTCCGTACCTCTACTTGCACCCCAGTTCATTTACCTACAGCCCAATTGTTAACTATTTCCCAGACTCACACGACAACCCCTTCCTCATACTAAGGTAATATTACATGCCATGATACCTCCCCCCCCCCCTTCCCTTATATCCCTTATATTACAGAAGTTTCTCCTACCCTACATCATGTATGAGCTCCCCTCCCAGAACCACAACACCGCCCCCTCCCCTACATCATGTATGAGCTCCCCTCCCAGAACCACAACACCGCCCCCTCCCCTACACCATATATGAGCTCCCCTCCCAGAACCACAACACCGCCCCTCCCCTACATCATATATGAGCTCCCTCCCAGAACCACAACACCCCCTCCCTACATCATATATGAGCTCCCTCCCAGAACCACAACACCGCCCCTCCCCTACATCATATATAGCTCCTCCCAGAACCACACCGCCCCTCCCCTACATCATATATAGCTCCCTCCCAGAACCACAACACCGCCCTCCCCTACATCATATATGAGCTCCCTCCCAGAACCACAACACCGCCCCTCCCCTACATCATATATGAGCTCCTCCCAGAACCACAACACCGCCCCTCCCCTACATCATATATGAGCTCCTCCCAGAACCACAACACCGCCCCCTCCCCTACACCATATATGAGCTCCCCTCCCAGAACCACAACACCGCCTCCTCCCCTACACCATATATGAGCTCCCCTTCCAGAACCACAACACCGCTCCCTCCCCTACACCATATGTGAGCTCCCCTCCCAGAACCACAACACAGCTTCCTTCCCTCTCACACCCACCGCTACTCTCCCTCACCCGCCCTAATGTGTTGTTTACATAGCCAGGGAGGATGGTACCTCACACATTAAACAGACACCTTCAAGAGTCCCTAAACTAGCCTGAGAGCTCGCTGGGTTGTCTGTGGTGGAGATATCTTGCATATTAGAGACTCTTGAGAGAGAGAGAGGAGTGTGTGTGTGTGTGTGTGGGGAGTGGCACCAGGTTGTTCACCAGCCCGGGGCACTCTGGCTGGTCTCGTTAAAAGAACGTTGCCTCCAGTTGACTGCTGAGAGAGTAGGAGCTCCGGGCAGGTTTGGGTTGCACTCACCACTACACCTCACACACACATGAATATTCGTCTCATAACTTTAGCAGTTTCAGTAAGATATGTAACGACTTGTGGACGACCGCAGAAATGACCACTTTTCCTGTGACGCACGACCAATGACCATGTTACCACGACGTTCAATAGATAGCTACACACATAGGAAAGGAGAGGGGCGTTCAGCTACTCACTCTCTAATACCAGTTATTTGTAATCAACCAAAGACAAGTTGTAGCAGCAGTCTGTAATATGAACTATTCCCACTACTACTACTACTTGTAACTACTGCAATTATTAAGACTACAATGATAAATATTACTAAAATACCATAAATACTATACTCATGTGTGTGTACGTGTGTGATTGGATACTTACAAGAGGGCGCATTACCCCCCACTCACACACATACACACTTTATGACCGGAAGTGAGAAGGAACTGTGGGAAGAGGTGTCTGGCAGCACACATGGACTCTTGCAAGATTTCCTTTAAAATGAATTCACCAAAACAGATTGAGTTGAGAGAGAGACTGATTTTTCCGATTCACATTTGGTTCACACAACGAGGGAGGTGAAGGGGGACTAGTTTATTGGGAACCTCTTTCGACAAAGCACATAAACATTACAGCGGCCAACAGGGAGAGGTATGTGGAGTTCATGCTTGCGTTCTTAGATGATGGGTGGGCGAGTGTGCCTGGGGGGGCCATTTGTCGAGGCTGGTCCACATGTGGCTGTAGTTATACGTCACTCACTCGGGTTTATAACTATAATATATCTACTACATCTTTCCTGCCTCATTAATATCACACTAAATGTTCCCCCCGTGTGTGTGTGTGTGTGTGTGTGTGTGTGTGTGTGTGTGTGTGTGTGTTTTTTATCCTCCCTATTGTGTCTGGGTCATTTTTCCTCCCGGCACTTTCATCCCTCAACTCATCTGCCATAGCTACTCAACTGGGTTCTAACTTACAGAGAGGAAAAAAAATCATTTATTTTCTTTTAATTATTTTCTTTAATTATTTTTGTACTAATGAACTTTTATTTTCGTGCAATGGAAACTTTTCAAGTGACGTTATTAAATTTCCTATCTGCCATATTGGAGGAAATCGTATATACACACAGCTGAAGGTGCCGGGGTTGTGAGACTTAATAACCTCAACAATGATGGTCTGTAATGTTGTTATTAAGCGGGGTAACTGAAGTGGCCGAGATATAGATGTTTCTTTCTTTCATCTGTTAGTCGTAATAACTACCAAAAAGGAGAAAATTAAGACGATAATTCAAATAATAGTGGACATTGCTAGTACATGGACAGGCCGTACCAGTCGTGCTCATCAAAAGCTAATTATCCCGACTTCCGGTTGTTTCTTGGTCATGTTTTGTAGAACAACTTACAGTGTTTACGTTAATTTTATCTGTGTTTATTAGAGATCGTCTGGTCTATTCCAAACGGCAAAACTTCATATTTTTCTGTAAGTATGGAGAGAAGTCCTGAGTATTAATAGTGCGTGTCAATTAAATTTTTTTTAAATAAATATTCTACTCGGTGATGCAAGTTGATGAGATAATATTACTGTAAATACTTGTATATATATATAAGACTAAACGTTCAAAGGGCTATTAGGCTACATATAGAACTGTTAAATTAATATAGTCTCGTCGTATGTATTATAAAACCCCTCACTAAGATTCCTGCCCCCTTGTTTCTGTTTTTGAGTATAACTGAAGAAAAAAAAATACCCCCACCAGACAACAATTTATATTTCATGGGGAAACTGCTTTGGTTTTATTAGGACAAAAGGTTTAAGCTCGTTATAAGTTTATTTTTTTCTCTAATTTTGAGGATAATTTACGTAAAACTAATAAAATCTGTAAACAAATAAATATCCGAGTTGTAAGTAAAAGACATCGTTGTTAACATGATCACAAATATCTCACATCAATTCAACAAGAGTGATGGTATCTAAACCTTTATAGGCTCTCAACTCTTCTAAAGTGTAAACATATATGTAGCAAATGAGTAATGTGGAAAAATAGTAATGTGGAAATAGTGAGTAATAATCTAATAATATATATACCAAAAATAAACTGCAGACTACGAAATGAAAATAAGTACCCCTGTTGCGAGGTATAATGAGGGAAATTCTATCACACACGGGAATAAATTCACCGGTTATTTCACTCCTAATTTCACTATGCCTATCTCTACCCTAATTCTTCGGTCGCTTAAACTTAATTGTGAGTTGGAAGGGGAATCAGGAGTCTTTGAGAAAATATAGAAGCAGACACAATCTCCATCAAACCATCCAAAATTAATTAAAAAAAAATATTTCAAATAATTTTAGGTGTATAACATACCATAACATGATTTAACTTTCTTTTGTTGTTATGATGTTATTACTGTGCTTCAAGAATTAAGGCCTTTAAGCGCGTAACAAGGTTAGTAATACACTAGTTCAACAATATTAAAAAAAAATATTGAACTCTCTCAACTCCCTTTTAAATGTCGAGCGTTTATACGTATCCGATTACATTCCGGATTTCTCGATCACAATGTAAGCAAAGTCTTATCTGTTGTCTTGGACTATCCTTGGCTGAGTGTAACTTTTTGAAACTGTGAACTTATAAGATTTTAATTAATATATAATGAATTATGAATCTATCTATCTATCTAACCCCTATAAAAATTTCGTCCATTTTCTAATACGCGTATTCAACTATTCAAAGAAAACAGATATCATGGTAAGGGTAACTTGGGTATTTATCACTTACCTGTGTGGCTTCGTTAACTTATCATTAATACTAGTGTATTATAGTGTATATGAAGGTAAGTAGTAATTGAATCAGCATATTTTATTATCCCTGAATGTGGTACTAATTGTTTGAACTTATTTTTCTTCCTCTCAGGTTGACCGATACGACATACTCAGTTTATGAAACATTAGACGGGGCCCTGGTTTCTCTCAAAGATACTGCCGAGTACGTATAAGATCATGTTTTTGTTGAGCTTATTGCAACCCATCCAGAGTAATGTAATCCAAGAATTCTAACACAGCCCCACCAAAGTAATGTAATCCAAGCAAATTAACGCAGCCCCACCAAAGTTATGTAATACAAGCAAATTAACACAGCCCCACTAAAGTAATGGAATCCAAGCAATCTAACACAGCCACACTATACCAGCTTAATGCAGCCATACTGACTGAAGACAACCCAAATAAAGGAAGATAAACCAGCTAACTAAATACATCAAACAGTTGAACACGACCCAGTCAAGCGTAACATAACACACCAAGCTTAAAGGGGCTCAGCAAACTGAACACAGTCTTTCCAGCTTAACCCAACGAGTTTAGTACTGTACAATCCACCCAGATGAACACAACACAAAAGCTATTTAATTTACTGAGCTAAACACAGTGTACCCAATATAACATAACCAATCATTCAGAAATAAACTTTTGTGATTTATCTCATATTTTTCCACATAACCAAGAGTTCTTGTGACTGGTCTAGTGCTTGTGTTGGCTTTGCTTTGAGTTCATTGTCTTCCTATAATAAGCTGGTATGTGACCTCACTTGCTGTGTTCTTGACCATGAAAGAAATGAGAGCTGATGGAATGGAGAACTGGGCGGTAAGTTCCCACTGACATTACCACAAAATGACAAGTGTGGCAAGTTGCTCCCGGGGATGGTTATTATCCAGTGAAAATAACCTTAACCTTAGAATTTTTTATTTTTTTTTATTTATTTTTTTATGCGGAGTTCTTCTGACTGATTTATTCTTCAGAACTTTTCAAGATTGTGTACTTTGTATATCTAAAGGAATGCTGTTCTTATTGCATGATTTTTATTTATTTATTTACTTGTGTTTACTTGTTTGTACGTATAATTAACTTGCATTATTTTCACTCGTTAGTTGTGGTAGATTGGTAAAGGTTATGGAATCGTTTAAATCAATAAGACCTTAAAGTATAACATGAAAACGTAGCATTTTAGTATTTTACATAATGTTAATGTTATTTTTTTAAACGGAAGTGAGGAGGGTGATGCAACACACAGTGGCTGGCAGTAAGCATTGTGTACCACCCAGGATGAGGTGTCCCGCCACAAGGACTCACGCCTCTCTACCCATTATTTTCCTTGTATTTTTTATGAACATTATGCACATTACTTAGCCATTGATTGTATTATAATGTACAACAATTATTTAATTTACTTTCCTATGGGGTTGGAAACTAAATACAAGCGTCATGATTCTCCTCACTTGTCCAGTCAGCCAAAAATATATACGAATACCTCACATGGTGTATTGGCTGGCGGCATCAACAACCAGTAAGTCTCTGTAAGCCACGGATTGACCCAGTTTGTGTCTTGATTTAGGAAAGGTAATTTTAACCTACCTGGTGATGCTGATAGAGTGAGATCATTTATGGACTAATCATTATACACTTTACCTCGTACGTATATGTTGAGGCCGAAAGTAATATTGGATTATTTAGACACTTTCATCTAAATTAAACTTTCTGGCTCGTTGGTGTTACTGCTGCTCCTCATTGCCAGAAGTGAGTAGATGAGTCAGAGTTGTTTTTCCTCCAGTATATTATTCAACTTTATTTCTTTGATTATTTCTTTGTCTTCTTCCCTTTTTTTTCTTGGTACATTTCATTCTGTTTTTCTTCTTGTTACTCCTTCTCATCATCATCATTATTTTAAGTCTCATTCTTTTAACCCTGTACTGTTATCAATCCTCTCTTCCATCTCCTCTTCTTGTTATACTCACACTATCAACTTATTCTTCTGTATTCATTCCCTCTTGGCGTTTTCTCCCTCACTTTCACTGCGAGGGCTGCTAGTCTATAGTTCTGTCTGTGTGTGTGTGTGTGTGTGTGTGTGTGTGTGTGTGTGTGTGTGTGTGTGTGTGTGTCAAAAGGCCAAACTTAAAATCCTGGAATAAAATGCATTGTTTCTACGATAGGTCTTAAGAGAAGGACGCTGTGGAGTGTTATCAAAGGCAGCAGGAGGAAGATATGGTATTAAGGGTAGTGTGACGATGAATGAGGAAGGTGTTGACGCGTGTGTTGTGCATGACGTCACAAGGATGTAGGCCAGCAGAAAGCGGAAGTTTTAGAAAGAAACTCCCGTGAGCCAGAATGTTGGTCACGACGCCCTTGTGTACCATCTTTTGTTAATACTGAGGGAGTATGTGGCGGACCTGTGGCAATGTACTGTTTGTTGTAATGTACTTGTGGACGTCGTGGTTTCATTATTATTTACCGCTTGACAACACATCTAAGAATATCAGGCAGTTATTATCTGTTTGTTTAGTGTATCGATAAATTTGTGTGTCCAGACGTCACCTAAAACGCTGGAACATTTTTTTGTTATGTATTTGATTTTGATGTAGATTACCGCACGATACACAGTCTTAAGTTTTGCTGTTACAATAATGCTTTGTGTTCCTGGTAGCTTACAGTCTTACCCTCTGTTTAACACCACCACCTTCAGTAAGAGGGTAAAAGATACAGAGAATAAAACCATCAGTTGGGAGCATCTTGTTGGTGATGGCGAGGCTGATAAACTTACCCATCGTGTTTTCTGCCATTAATTTTTTCAACATCTTCTGGAGAACAATTTATATCCTAGAGACATTACTGACCGTACTGTAGGTTATCTGGCTGCTAAGTTATTATAACCCGCTGTCTGTAAACTTGAGTCTGTTGTGATCCTTCATCTTGGGTTCTTTATCCTGATCCACCCAGCTTAGGTTTCCCTCTTGCTTGCCTTTAGGTCTGTTCTCCACCCGTCAGGCGCTGCGTCATATCATACATTTATCCGTTCATCAGCTGTTCTCTGTTATGTCTCATTTATGCAGTAAGCTGTGTCCGTCAACAGTGAGGCCAGTTAACACTCCTGGTGAACGTGCAGTAAATAGTACCATATGATATGACTTACAGTGAGTTACTAGACTGAGAAGTATAGGACGGGTCGTGGCGATGAAGAATGGAGCGAGCTATAAGATGAACAGTTGAGCCATTCTGAGAGTGAATCATGTTAGATGCTGGAGAGGAGTTGAACATGTAGAGCGGGCGGGATGTGGGACCCTTGGTGTAGCCGTGATGGTTGCTCGTTATGTCTAGAGTTGCTTCTACACGTTCCTCCTCGTTGACGGTTTCATGGTGATGCTCTTAGTGTCCATATGATTTTTCCTTCGTTTTCCGTCGTCCTGCATAGCTGTGCGTTGGACTGAGAAACGGTTGCTTTGCCACGATGTTATTATCTTGCCATTTCTTGTCTGAAGTTGCATAAAATAGCTAAGAATTACCCTCGAGGACCACGACAGGTTGTTGGCTGGAGGAAGTACTCCAGTGAGATGGAAGTCACACCAATCAATAAATTTACCTCGTGTGTGACGATCACCCTCAGCTTGTAGATAAAGCGAGCGCTGGTACTTACTGGTTACGGAAGAAAAGAGGTTCCGGCGGCAGTAAGTAAACCACAGGAGCCATAAGGCGGAGGCGTGGTTCCTGCCGAGGCCACTGGATCTGAGGGCCACGAGAGACGGACTGTCATGGCACCTAGGAAGGCAGCAGTCCTCCTGCGGCACACACCCGCCCTAGCCGTCATCATTACCACCCGCGTCTCCCGACAACCGCGCACAACCCTCAGCCACACTCTACCGTAGACAACATCCATAGTCAGTATTCCCATACTCCTCACATCCCCCCATGCTACATACAAGTTAAGCTACACAATTATTGCCCCATTTTGAAGATACAATCGTCTTCCACTTCACTTGTTAAATTCTACCAGTCACTACTCTGTGCATCAGCCGTCCCTCTACACTTCCTCCCAACACAAGTTCAGCCGCTCACAAGAACAACACAAAACAGAAACACTATATTTTCGGGACGTGTGTTACACCCGGAGACTCATGTAACAATATAGTGTACTCTTCTCTGCCTGTTGACTCTGAATGTCTGGTATTATTCACATTACGTTCTCCCCCTGAAAAAGTGGTATATAGTAAGTGAAAGCAGTTCCGTCAGTAGCGTGGAGAGGGAGACAAGATGGTCTTCATCTTACCCAACTGTAACTGTGCCTCACGACGGAAGCTGTCCAAGCGGTAAGTGTTTCAATCTGCTTTATTTGCTTATACAACAGCAAAAGTTCTGCCTCTCCTCCAACATTTGGCTCACCACCTCGACCCTGTGTTCCAACACTGCCGAGATATGCCAGGGACCGAGATGTACTGTGTCGTTTAGTAACCAAACTGAGAGTAAACACCGGCCATGACTTAAGACAACCATGTGTGTTATATTTAGTATGCAGTGTGATGTGCATTGTATCTGTAGTACACTAGATACAACTAGTACAGCGCGATGCATGGGTTGTACGGTGTAGTTTATCTTGGGTAGGAATATACTGGAAGCTGTTGTTAGGCAGTGTGCCATTTTCTACCTTGGCCAGGACAGAACAACACTACTGCTGTGTAACCACACTAGAATGTCAGGCATCTAGACAACATATAGGGCGGGCTGGCCTGGGCCAGGTGGTGTGGACAGCTTAATGCAACATCCTGGGATTTGGCGCATCTCAATCTCTTGTGGAAAAAATGTGTTGCTGCTACTGTATATTTACTTGTGTCTCGGCTCTTACAAAACATTAATTTATTACTTAATCGAGTTTTTTAAAGAGTTCAGCGCATTTCTGTCGTATCCGTAAGCTTTAGTTATTTGACCTCTGATAGATTATATTATGTTGTGCGAGAAACAAAGAACGATAATAATCACGTCCTAGTGATGTATAGTTAATAAACACACCATTACTTTATTCTTGAGTTCCTGACACGATATAATATTCTGCGTTCTAGAAAATTCCTCTTGTTTTATATTCTTATCGGGGAACAATATCAGGTTTAGTTCATCTATGTAAACTAAAAAAAAACAGTGAGCGTCAGTTATCTTTTATAAGAAGTGTTA